TGGAATTCCATCCTTACATTTATAAGTCAACTGGATTGCCCAGAAGTTTAGATGAATTTGTTTTGTTCTTAATATTTTCCACATTGAAGATGTAAGTAGGTCATCTGAAAGCATCAGGTTTGGTCTACGGCCATACCACCCTGAACGCGCCCGATCTCGTCTGAAAGCATCAGGTTTGATTACAACCACATAATGCATGTCTTTCTTAAGGTAGGTATTGGTGTTACACAAATGGTTCTTATTCAGAAGCAAAGATGACAGGTGGAAGGAAGGAAAGGAGGGAGAGTTCTGTAAATTGCTGAGACCTGGTGACAAAGAGGAAATAAGAGAAGCCGAGGATGGCAGCTAGCGAGGAGCTATCTTCTAAGCACACTGCGTAGGCCAGCCTGCCCCCAGCCCTCCAGTCATGCTGGTGAGGGTCTGTCTTTTCTGGGGCTCTAGCTGACCCCGAACTGCTCCCAAGGGGATGAAGTGTGACTCGGGTGCTAAAGAATTTGTTCACACATAGGTGTTCAAGCTCCAAAGCTACTGCCTAGCTGCCTAGCCTGGGTGAGTGCTGAACTCACTCAGCACTCATGTGGGAGTGAACGTCCTAAAGCTGGGACCTAGTGACCTCAAGCCACCTACCAGTTATCTGACAGCTCTGCATAGTCAAATTCTCACTTCATCAAGTGAAAGAGAGTGAAGTGCCAGATTCTAGGCCCATTTTTTCATTCTAAAATTAAGGGATGGTGGGAAGCACAGTATCTCATTATCACTTGTATCAGGGAACAGATAAACACAGGGAGTGATGCAGAACACACGGACAACAGGGGTTTGAGAGGAAGCAGGGGCCGCACTAGGAAGTGAGCCCAGCACTGCGCTACCACCTGCAGTGCCCAAAGCACCTCTGCATCCAGAGGAAAGGAAACTAGATAGCAGTTTGCTACATCCAGCCACAGAGGAGCCTCTAAAATGGCCGGTGAAAGAAGGGAACCGGTTTGGACACAGTGTTGAAAGAGCAATAGTAAAGCATGTGAACACAGCAGTGTATTCAATTTATCTCCTATGTGCACACCCCACCAACAGTTCACATTATTCTTTTAGGTTTTGTTACAGCTCTTTTTTAAAATTAAGATTTGTCATATATTCTTCCAACATTTTGTATGCATACTGCCAACTAAAAATTGTCACTCACCATCTGGTTCTACAAGAATGAGGTCACTAGCCTCAGTAGTCACTGATCTTCAACACACTCTGAAAGAATTTCAGGGCAGAGATCAGGAATGAGACACTCTGTGCTCTGGGAAAACCTGGCAGAACAGGCCTTCAGATAGTCAGATATTTTTAGAAGAAGATTTTATGAGCCCAATTTCTTGTATCTTCTCATACCTAGAAAAGCACTAAAATCATTAACAGAGACATCTGTTCCTAGTGACTAACAGCAACCTTCTGGTGACAAGCAGCAACCTTCTGCCAAAATGTGTGCTTGATTTGATCCCCCTTCACTAAAATCACACAGATACTGACCTCCCTCCTTCCTCTTGGGATCAGTTCCTCAGAGCCATCTGAGAGGCTGTGTCCCGGACTACAGTCCTTATTAGGCCCCAAACAAAATTTAACTCACAACTCTCAAGTTGTGCGTTTTTTTTTCAGTCAACAATATACACATGTTATTTTCATCTTTTTAAAAAAATTTATTTAATTGATTTAGTTTGTGGCTGTGTTAGGTCTTCGTTGCGGTGTGCAGGCTCCTCATTGCCGTGGCTTCTCTTGTTGCGGAGCCCAGGCTCTAAGCCCACCTGTGGGCTTCAGTAGTTGTGGCTCGCGGGCTCTAGAGCACAGGCTCAGTAGTCGTGGCGCACGGGCTTAGTTGCTCCGTGGCAATGTGGGATCTTCCTGGACCAGGGCTCGAACCCGTGTCCCCTGCATTGGCAGGCGGATTCTTAACAACTGTGCCACCAGGGAAGCCCCATTTTCATCTTTAACAAAGGATTTATGCTCTCAGATTGTTAGGAAACTTGTTCTTTTCACTTACAATATATCTTGAACAATTTTCCATGCCACTATACATGGACCTACCTCATTCATTTTACATGCATAGTTTCTATTAAGTGGATAGGATATTGTGCTTTATTTAACACATCCTCTAATGAAGGACACTGCAGTTGTTTCAGTTTCTTCTTATTACAAACAATGATGCAATGAGCATGCCTGGACAAATATTTTTGCAAACGTGCATATGTGTAAGATTATTTTTTATTGACAGTCTACTGCACTAGAATGTAAATTTCATGAAGGTTTGTTTATTGCAGTATCCTCAGTATTTTATTCCTAGTGTCTCGCATGTAACAGGTGTTCAATAAATTCTTGAACACGTACCATTTTATAATCACCAGAGGGACAAAAATTCAAAGTCTGACAATTCCCAGTTTTGGCATAGATTAAACAACAGAGAATTCTCATATCCTGCTGAGAGTGTAAATCAGTACATTTGCTCTGGAGAGCAGTTTGATTACATCTCAAATGTGCATATTCTAGGACTATTTTGATTCCTAGATATGTATTAAAATATTCCCTTGCACATGTGCTCAAGGAGACATGTGCAAGAATGAAAAAACCAAACTGGGGCAAGTGGCCACCTAGGGGGTAGGGAAGGAAATGTGTTCAGGGATGGGTAACCAGAAGCCTCACTCCATGGAATAGTTTTCTTGAGTTGTGTGGTGTGTACATATTTGTTATTGGCTTTACCATTTTTGTATGATTAATATATTTCATGATTTAAAAAGCATCCATCTATTCATATTTTAATGAGCGTTATTAATATAACTTTACTTCAAAATCTGGCCCTGGCTTCTGGATCTGGTACATATGACACACACACACTGAATGTTTATTGGATGAATAAACTAACACCTGTCCTCTCAATCCTTCTATGTCTAAGCTCTACTAATTGAAATCAAAGTCAAGTTCCCTTGGAAGACTCCTTCTTCAGTGAACTGTACCTATGACTGCACACGCAGGGGTCCCTGGCATAGCTGGGCATCATCAACAGCATGTAACCTAGCACACGCTTCTCTTGTTTCTTCTGCCCTAGAGATAGTTCCTTCCTTCATTTGCCACGTGTACTGCAATTAAACTATTCCCCCAATTAGGGAATCACTGTATTCCCAGGATCTATTTCAGAGTTTGACAAACATAAGCTCTCTGGAAATGCTTGATGAATAGCATTAAATGAGATGACATATTTATACGTATCTGATACAAATGCACAAAATTCTTTTTAAGTTGTATGTTGGGGCTTCCCTGGTGGCACAGTGGTTAAGAATCTGCCTGCCAATGCAGGGGACACAGGTTCGAGCCCTGGTTCGGGAAGATCCCACATGCTGTGGAGCAACTAAGCCCGTGTGCCCCAACTACTGAGCCTGCTCTCTAGAGCCAGTGAGCCACAACTACTGAAGCCCCTGCACCTAGAGCTCATGCAACAAAGAGAAGCCACTGCAATGAGAAGCCCGCGCACCTCAACGAAGAGTAGCCCCCCCTCACTGCAACTAGAGAAAGCATGCATGCAGCAATGAAGACCCAACGCTGCCATAGATAAATAAATAAATAAAATAAACTGTCTTAAAACCACTCCTATTATTAAAAAAAATTATGTTGAATTTTACAATTGTTTTAGATTTACAGAAAAGTTAAAGACAGTACAGAGCATTCTCTACACCCCTCACCAGTCTTCCCTACTGTTAACATTTAACTCTACTTTGGTACCTTTGTCAGAACTAAGAAACCAATATTGGTGCATTGTGATTAGCTAAACACACTTTATTTGGATTTTACTAGGATTTCTTTCATGTCCTTTTTCTGTTCCAGGGTCCCATCGAGGATACCACATTACATTTAGTCATCATGTCCCTTTAGGCTCCTTTAGTTACTGACAGTTTCTCCTACCACCCTTGTTTTTTCATGACTTTGACATTTTGGGGAGTATTGGGGAGGTATCTTCTAGAATATTCAACATGGTTAGAATGAGGTTATGGGTTTGGGGGAGGAACCCGACAGAGATGAAGTATCTATCATCCTTATCACATCATATTAGGGATGTGTGCTATCAACATGATGTATTGATGATGTTAACCTTGATCATTTGGCCAGGGTAATTTTTACCTGGTTTCTCTTTCCCACCCCTCCTCCCCCTTTCCACATTCTTCTCTTTAAAGTATGTCACTAAGCAAAGCCTATATTCAAAGGGGAGGGAGTTAAACTCTTCTCCTGGAGAAGGTCGTAATGACAAATTATTTGGAATGCCTCTGTACTGGGAGATGTGTCTCTTCTCCCCCATTTATTTATGTATTCACTTATTCATTTATTTATATTAAAACGTTTTTGACTATATAAATAACGACTGCTCAAGAAACTTTTGATTTCTTCTGTATTTCGAGGACGTCCTGAACCACCATTCACCTTTACCTCACAGCTCAATAGGCACGACAATTCTGGGAGTTTCTTTCTGGCGGAGGTTCACCATTAACTGTGTGTCGCATCACCAAGGGGGTCCCGGAGGTGACGGACACCGAGGCGGTGGAGGCGGGGCCCACGACAGAAGGCGGACCCCAGACTCCCTCCGTGTCCACCCTCCACCTGGCTCCGCAGACACCCCCTTGGACAACGTGCTTCGAAAATAAAAAGAAAAAGGGGGGTTTCGGCGCGGGAAGTGCTCTCAGCCGTCAGAAGGTTTTCGTGAGCTCTCTCTTTGCGTAGCTCCCTACAACCTTCGGGAGAGCGAAAAGATACGACGCCTGGGGCAGTCAGAGCTATGCAGGACCAACAACGGGGCGGAGGATGGGCCGCCGCCTGCTGCTGCCAGCCCCGCAAGCACACAGGCTTCGTGCGCCAGGGCAGCCAGCAGCAGCAGCGCGGGGCCCACCCCCGAGGAGAAGGAGGAGGCGTGCTGGCGCCGCCGGCAAAAGGCGGTGTGGGCGGGGCCTTGGCGCAGCGGCGCGCGCGGGCTTTCGGGAACGCGGCGCTCAGGCAGCGAAGACTGCAGCGGCCGTGGAGGAGACGGTTGCTGCGCCGGGTCCTGGGGTCGCTGCTTGAGGCGCAGGCGCCGTGGACTCAGCCCATCCTTGTCCTTGCATCGCCGTGGGCTCGTAATGGCGACCCAGCAGAGGCTTTTCCACCTGGTGGTGTTCGGCGCCTCTGGCTTTACCGGCCAGTTCGTGACCGAGGAGGTGGCCCGGGAGCAGATGTCCCCGGAGCGGAGCTCCCGCCTTCCCTGGGCTGTGGCGGGCCGTTCTCGGGAGAAGCTGCAGCGAGTCCTGGAGAGGGCTGCCATGAAACTGGGTAAAGGGGGCGACTGGGACGGGGCCCCGGGACCCCGGTCTCGGCCCCACTGCCGCGGCTCTCATCCCCAAGCCCCCTTCTCCCGGCTGAGGGGTTTCAGTCGCCTGAAATGAGAGGTTCTCTCCCTGGGTGCCCCTCGAGCTCCCCAACCCTGTTAGCGCCCAGGAGGAGGAGCACGGGGCTCCTGATAACGTCAGAGCTTCGTTCCGTTCCATAAACAAACAAGAGAGAGAGAGACATCCCCGACCCCCCTTGAATTTCTCCCATAGTTAGGGAATCCCCACTGGCGAAATAGGAACTTTAGTTTTTCCTTTCTCTGCTCCGTCCCCTTCTAGAGCGGGGGGTAACCTGGTGGGCCTGGAAGTCTCTTGATGTTTGTTCGGGTACAAAAGTAGAGCACTGGTTTCTTCAGGATGGTTTGTGCTCTCCCTTTGCCTTGTGTTCTCCCTTTGCCTTGTGTTTTGGAGATGGGAGAGGAAGCTTAGGAGTTTTACGGAGAACGTTGCTGTGGCTTTACTTTTTAATTTAATTTTTACTTGTAAGCATTCTCCAGCAGTCGCACTCTTCATCCAGAAAGTTTTTTTGGTGTTTTTGTTTCGGCAGTTTACTTACTCTTTCGGCATTCATTCAGCCTGTTTTTATTGAGTGGTCTTTTTAATGTCAGGTGCTAGTGTAAATGCTGGAGATACAGATGTGGCGGAGAGAGACACACACGCACACGCAGAGACCCTACGCATGTTCCCCGTGGTGAGAACATCTAAGTTAGGAGTCAGTCGCCTTTAACTTTGGCTGTCAGTTTTCCACCCTACTGCCCTGTCATACAGACAGATAGCACCTATTAGAGTTTCGGGCATACTTTGTTCTTCACTTCACCTTCATCTCACATAATTCCACACAGAGCCCTGTTTTTGGAACCTGTTTTGTTTGTGGTTGATACAGAAGATACCATGTAGGCTGGACTCTCCTACAGCTCTCCTGCTGCCACTCCCAAGTACAGAATCTTGACCAAAAAGCTTTTTGGTCTTTCTTTACTTTTCCAAGAAAAATACTTTCACGACTAAAATATATGCTTCCTTTTCTTCTTTTCTGTTCAACGAGACTGTACAGGTATAGCCTAGTTGCCTACCATTTGTAGTGCCCAGATCAGGTTATTGCAGGAAATACACCTTGAGCCATGAAACCTGCGTTACTCTATTGATTCAGTTTATTCCAGTTATTTCCTTATTATGAACTTGAGTGTTCTTTTACCTCAGTCCTCTTTTGTTTCATTATGTTGATGTTAACTCCCCTCCTCATAATTTTATCATATGTAGTTGTTTAATCGTTGATGAGAAACTGCTTTTATAGTATAATAGTATAATTCTTCCTGGAGAGGAGGTCAGGAAAATCGTCTTCTATCTGAAAACTTGTAAAATTGGCATTGTGCATAGAGTTGTCATTTACACATTCCTTATCTTAGGTTTTCTTTTAAAGGTTAGTAATGTGTTTTATTAACTCTTAGTTTTAACTCCATTTTCCTCATAGTCTTTTCCGTATTTTTAATTACCTGGTTAAAAACAGTTTTATCTTTTGTTTGAGAGGGAGAATTAGCTTTTAGTATATTTAGTAAATTTGCCATCAGTGGTTATTATGAAAAGAAGGGCTGGGTGATCTAATACTGTATCGGGATTTGCTTAAAACAATTTATTTCTTATTTTAGGAAGGCCGACACTGTCATCTGAAGTTGGAATAATAATTTGTGATATCACTAATCCAGCCTCACTTGATGAAATGGCTAAACAGGCAACAGTTGTCCTCAACTGTGTAGGACCAGTAAGTAATCTGCCCTTCTCTGAATCAGAACAAACAATCTATTCATTTCTAGCAGAATCTGGTATTTTATATTCCAGAGAAACATAAGGGCAGGGGACAGAAGAATTGATTCAGGGCCTTAACCCCATATGGGGAGTTTTTACTTCTCATGAGAAGCAAATGGATATGACCAAAGTCTCCTGAGAGAGAGAGTGACACTAGACTCCAGGAATGTGTGCTGGTTTATTTAGTGGTTACAGCTATAATTGCCAAACTTTTTTTTGTGCTGCATGTCCCTTAACTAAAAAAGGTTGAGCATGTACCCATAATTTACTTTTTATTTGTTTTTAAATTACATTCTGTATTACTGTACCAGTACATATGTTAGTGCATGTACAAAGAAAGATATTAAAAAAAGATTCATTCATTTATTCAATAAATGTTTATTGAGTGTTTATTATATGTACACTGAACTAGTCTACGGACATAATGGTGAATAAAACAGAAAACCCCTCATGGAGCTTACAGTCCAGTGGGGAGACAGAAAAATAATGTTATAATAGTAAGTGACAGGTGCTTTGAAGAAAAATAAAACAGGGAAGGGAGATAAAAAGATTGGCACACCAGTCTCTATTAGATGGATGGTCAGGGAAGGTCTCTGTGAGGAACTGAAATTTGCATAGGGACCTGAATGCAGTGAGGGAGTAAATCCTGTGAGTATTTGAGGAGAGGGTGTTCCAGGAAAGAGCAAATCCAAAGGTCCTGAGATGAGCATGTGCTTGGCCTGACTGAGGGATGTGAGAGAGGCCAGCGTGGTTGAGCGTGAGCAGGGCAGAGAGGTGGGGAGTTAGGTTGGAGAGGTACCTAGGAACTAGGGGGTTAGGTCTGCAAGGTCAAGATCAGGGTTTGGGTTTCCTTCTAAATATGAAAGAGCCATTGAATGGTTAAAAACAAGGGCATGATTTGATTTACGTATTTGAAGTTCTTTGGCTTCTGAGAGGAAAAATAGATGGTAGGGAACCAACAGTGGAATGGGCCAAGCAAGCCAATCACAGGGTAGGAGTGTTAGAGGTGGTGAGAAGTGGTTGAAAGCGGATATTTTGAAAGGAGAACCTCTAGCTGCTGCTATTGGACTGGATGTGAAAGAGACACTTGTGGTCTGTGTAACAGGGTGAATGTTGGTGACATTTATGGATCTGAGGAAGCTTTCTCAATTGTCAAAACATTTGAAAACTAAGCATCTAGAAAATTGTTGATAATTTCATCAAATGAAACCAGAAAGGTTTTTGATTGTCACCAAATGAAATGTATTTCTATTGTTTATTTCAATTTATTTCATTAACTAGTTTAGAATGTGGTCTGTGGTTCGTTGCTTGAATCACTGTCTTATATACATCCTCAGCCAGCTTGTCCCTCCCTCCGAAGTACTCTGGAGAAACCCCAGCCCTGGTTATTCCAGCTCGCTGCTTACTCTACCTGAACATGTATAACCCAGTCTGGCTGGAGAAAAATGCATCCCGATGCTGACTAGTCCCACTTTAAATATGTGGTTACAAACCTCACATGCAGCCTCAGTACCTCCAGCAATTCTAATCTATTTTCCTAGGCTGTTTTCTCTCCTACTCACTGAAGCAGCAGTTTTATAACTTCTTTTTTCTCATACTTTTAGCATCCCACCCCTTTCTTCCTTTTTCCTCACTCTTACCTCGTGATTTTCTTCCTTCCTTCCTTCCTTCTTTCCCTTCTCCCTCCCTTCCTTTCTTTCTTTCCTTTTTTCTTTTTTTTTTTTTTACACTGTGAACGTACAGGCTGTCAGAAGAGAATTTATACCACCAGATCTTCCTATCTGCATTGTATCCTGACTCTGCCTTATCTCCTTTTACAGGGAAAAACTACCCCTGCTTCTCATGGACACGGTATTCAAAGACTTTATATTTACAGGTTTACAGTTACACATATTCTTATTCTCATCAAATTTTGCCTCTTGATTGGATTATTTCTCTCAACATACAAGTATGGGATTATATCTCCCATTTAAACAAAAACTTCTCTGAATTCTGCATGCTCCTCTAACTACTCCCATTTTTCTGTGCCCCTTTTTAGCAAAACTTGAAAGAGTTTGCCTTGCTTACTGTCTCCACTCCCTCACCTCCTCCTGTATCTCGTCTTGTCAGGCTTTTATCCATACTCCTTAAATGAAACTACTCTGCCAGCATCCCCGTCCTGTCAAATCCAATCATCAGTTCTCTGTCCTCATCTTAATCAGACCTCTCAGCGTTTGTGACAGTCGATCACTTTTTCCTTTCTTCACTTGGGATCTGAATTCTTGCCCTCTCCTAGTTTTCTTTTTCTGTACCAGCTTTGTCTCAGTCTCCTTTGCTGGATCTTTTTATCCTCCTGTGAATGCCAGAGGTCTCAGAGCTTAAGCCTTAGAAACTCTTTTCTGTTTATATTCCCTGGACCATTTTTTAATATTATTATTATTGTGGTAAAATATACATAACATAAAATTTAGCATTTTAACCATTTTTAAGTATACACTTCAATGACATTAAGTACATTCACAATCTTATATAACTGTCACCTCTTTATTTCCAGAACGTTTTCACCATCCCAAACAGAAACTGTAACTGGGCCAGTACTTTTTAAACTTTGTGAAATCAGTTCAGTAGGTTAAGACTAGGCATTGAAAAGAAAAATCAGATAGACTGAAATAGAAAATAGGGTGAATTACACGTAATACAGGTACGTACTGGTTCATGAAGCTTTTGTGTCAGATATATTTGTGTGTGGAGCTACTATGTGAAATGAATTTCTTAGGGTGGGTTGTAGTCAGAAAGAATTGAAAGCCATGGCTTTCAATACCATCTGTTTCCTGATGATGCCTACATTAATTTATTTCCACTGAGGAACTACCCCTTAAACTCCAGACTGGTGGATCGAATTACCTTCTCAGTGTTTCCAGTTGGATGGTTTATAGGCATCTCTAGCTTTTTGACCCCAAAACATGTTCCTTCCTAAGCTCTACTTGGAAGGTTGTTTTCACTTTGTAATATGGTTTATACTCCCAGGGGTAGACTCCAGTTTACCAGTTTTGGTGTCATAATTTGTTTCTTTGAAGGTATTTTTTTTACCCATTTCTCTGTTTTGTGAGGGTCTCTTTAATGAGAGCTAAATGATAGCTGTAAAACTAGTCAGGCATATGTAAACAAGTATTATGTCAAAATATTCAGAAAATGACTGAATCAGTACTTTTAAGCATTATTCTTTATTGTCTTCTGTGCTGGGAAGTGGAGGGGGAAAAACTGCTGTTGAGAGAAAGATGATGAATCTGATTTTGGATGTGTTGAAACTGAGGTGTCTGCTAGATATATTTTTGAATTAAGACAGGAAATGCGTACTATATAGTGGAATTGTTTTCTTAAGCAAGTGAGGAAGTCAGGGTGAAGAGGAAATAGAGGAGAGGAAGAGAAGCCAAAGTGAAATTCATTTTGCCCCATGTCCTGAGCTCTTGCGGGTCCTGAAGTTTATAACAGAAGCCACAGATGAGGCAGCCTCATCAGTGAGCAGCTCTGGAGATAGGAGTTGGACGTCATCAGTATACATGTCGTAGTACAAATCCAGAAAGTTGGTGAGATTTTCCAGGGAGCATGTCTAGGGAGGTGATTCTCCACCTCTAACGTACGTAAGAGTCACCAGTGAGGCTCATTTAAAATGCAGGTTACTGCAGTCTACCCCGGAAAACTTATTACTGGAGGGAGTTGGGGTGGGACTGAGTAACCAGCATGTTTAATGAGCGACCCAGCTGATTCTGACCCAGGTGAAGTACGGGACAACTTGAGGTATTCGGGGGTAAAATAACCAGGAGGCCAAGGAAATTGCTAAGTGAGTTTCAAATGGATATGTGTAAAAATTACCCAAGATGATCCATTGGGTACAGAAAGAAAATAGAGCTTTGACTTGTACTCATTTTAATTTCAACTCTATGTCCATCTTATGTATGTTTAAAGTGTATATTTTATTAGTATAGTAGTCCATATATGTCATTTGTAAATAAATTCATACAATTTAGTAGATGATGGATTTAGAATGTGAACTTGGGTCCTGCTGCCTTGGAAGCCCTTGTTTGTTCTGTTGTACTACGTTGCCTCAGAAGTTAAGTGCTTTCAGTAATTTTGCATGGTTGATGAATAGCAGAGGATGAACTAGAACTTAAACACACTTTTCTAGTCCTGTAATTCCAGTGTCATTTGCTGTTTTTAAGAAGGGGGAGGAGGATGTGGAGATGAGGCTGTGGAGTCAGGTAGAGAGGAGCGTAAGTGACCCACTTGAAAAGGGCAATCCCTGTAGTGCCCTGTCTTTTCTTTTAAGTGTCCGTTTACCTGTTTCTTGAAGGCTAGAAGAAGCAGACCATCTCCTTTCTCCATCTTTTGCTGTGAGGAATGAGAGGAGCAGAGGAGTTTATGCTTCCGCTTACCCTTCCCTCACAAAGGGAAAATTCGTCATGCTTCCTTTGAAATGGGACTGACTCTGATGTATTAACTGTTATATAAAAATTTTAAAATTTTAATTCCTTGAGTTTGAGCAACAAATAGTTTGGGAGATCCAAAATCATACAGGCTCAGAATAGCTACTTTGTACAATATTAAACTTATCCCCTCCAACCCTCTTTGTCCTTTCTTTATTTTGCTAATACTGCCATTAGTTGTTGGTCCCCATGTCCAGCTAATCAGGAAGTGCAGTCATTTCTGTCTTTTAAGTATATCTCACTCTTAGTATATCCTTCCGCTTCCTTAGTTTTGTCCTTCATTTCTTACCTGCCGTGAGTTTTGTTTTCCAATACCACAGGCAGAGTGATATGTCTGTGTTATAAACGTTCCACCGCTGTCCTGTTTAAAATACTCTAGGAGGGCTCAGCAATGCAGAAAAGGTAAAGTTCAGTCTTGATAACATGGCACTCAGGGTCGTTCCTGATCTGGCCCAAGTGTTTCTTTCCAGACTCAGCTCTTACCACTTCCCTCTCCACTACTCTGTGCTTCAGGTATCCTGAGCATCACCCTTTTTTACACTTTTACGTATCACTTTTCCATTATTTGGATTTTCTTTTTCCTGGCAAATCCTTACTGTTCTTCAGAATTCAACTCAGATGAGTCACTTCTTTTATAAAACTTTGGACTTTGTCTTCAGTTAGAGGTAATTCCATCATGCTTTTATTTACACTGTGAGAGTCAGTAAATTGCAGTTACATTATTTTCTCATTTTCTCATTAGGCTACTTTATTAATATTTGATTTCTTAATAGTGAAGACTGTACTTCCAACACTCAGTGGTATTCCTTCATTTAAGCTTGCTAAGTAAGAGTAAACTGTTGGTTTTCTTTATTCTCCCAGTACCGATTTTATGGAGAACCTGTAGTGAAAGCATGTGTTGAAAATGGAACTAGCTGTATTGACATCTGTGGAGAACCTCAGGTATGTAAAATGGAAAAGAAGGAGCAAAATTAACAATACAACTTTCTGTTAAAGTGAAAAATATTTAGTGTAATTTTGCAGACAGATTTTAGAAGGTGATGACTCTGTAGCATTTAGAGATGGTATTTCATTGAAAGCTTGAAGGAGAGCATGATGGTAAGGTCTTAGCTTCAGTTTTCTTGAATTTTTCTTCCCTACATCCTGATTTCTTCCATGGCCTTTGTGTATAGGATGTGTTGATTTTTATTGCTACTGCATGCTGTAAACAGAATTAATTAAAATAAAACTTGCTCAGAGTCATGCAACCATTAAGTAGAAAAACTAGGACTTGCATTGAGGTTTGCCTGAATTAACACTGCAGGAAGTGGAGTGTTAATAAGCACTGAGCCACACTAGCTCCTTTATAACTGTAACCTCATATGTCCCTATAGTCTCTGCTGAGTACCATCATCAGTGTGCTGGTATATACATACTTAGAGCTTATCAGTTGGTGATGTATATTGGAAAGTGTTAAGAAAGTGTAAATTACCAAGACTGATAAAAGAAGAGGTAGGAAATATGAATGTAAAAGAAACTATTCCTATCTTATTTAAAATATTCTAGAGCAGAGAAAATGGTGGAAAGCTGCTAAGTTATCTTATAAAGTACCATGAACGTGGCATCAAAACCTAGTAATGAGCCAGAATATATATAAGTCAAAAATACAAATTTAAATAACCCAATTTAAAGTGGGCAAAGGGAAGAAAAGAGGCAAATCACCTGTGCAGAATTCCACATAATTCACATAACTACTGTGCCCTTGAGGAGGGGGAGCTTCACTCCTCCCTCTTTATGTGTGGGCTGCACAGTCACTGCCTTCCAGCGAGTACAGCATGGAAGCGGCGGGGGGAGGGGGAGGGGGAGAAGAACTTTACAGTGGAGACACCAGACAGATGCCGCCTCAGCCAGGTGTTGAGGGTCAACATCACCAGTGAGAAATTATGTTGATAGTATGTACTCTTCTTTTTTTAAATGATTTACAATATTGTGTTAGTTTCAGATGTACAGCAAAGTGTTTCAGCTATATATATATATTTTTTCAGATCTTTTTCCATTATAGGGTATTACAAGATACTGAATATAGTTCCCTGTGCTATACAGTAAATCCTTGTTGTTTATCTATTTTATACATAGTGGTGTGTATCTTTTAATCCCATACTCCTAATTTATCCATCTCTCCCTCCCTCCCACTTTGGTAACCATAAGTTTATTTTCTGTGTCTGTGAGATAGTATGTACTCTTGATATGACATCAGGAAATGGCACTTTACCCCGTCTTCCTCCCCAAAACCTGTAACTCTAGTGTAGTCATGAGAAAATCATGCGACAGTTTCCAGTAGAGGGGCATTCTGCAAAGTACCTGACCACTACTGTAAAGGTCATCAAAACCCAGGAAAGTCTGAGAAACCATCACAGCCAGCGGAGCCTAAGGAGACATGACAACTAAATGTAGTATGGTATCCTGAATGGGATCCTGGACAGAAGAAGGACCTTAGATAAAAACTGAGGAAACCTGAACAAAATAGGGACTTTAGTTAGTAATAATGTATCAGTATTGGTTCATTAATTATAATAAATGTTAATGTAAAAGATGTAATGATAAGGTTAACTGAGTGTGGAGTACCTAGGAACTCTCTAGTACTCAATTTTTTTCTGTAAATCTAGAACTGTTTTTTAAAAAAAACAGGCAAAGAATTTGAACAGACATTATTCCGTTCTTGCGTTCCCTCCTTTCCTACCACTCTTTCTACTTACATATGTGCACAGATAAATGTCTGTAATGATGTTCATCTGGAAGATGTGATTCGGGGTAACTTTTTTTTGTTTTCTTTGTATTTTTCTATATTAATTTTTCATAATAGGTATTGCTTTTGCATTTAAAAGTCATTCTAAAAAATGAATTAAGTCAGATCTGCATATCTCTCACACCACCTGGAGCATAGTAGGTATGTTTGCTGAGTAAGTGCCAACTATTTGGCAGTTAATATTTTGCTGCAGAGCCATCTTGGTTAGTATTTTCACAGTTTAATTGCTTTGTTTTTAAAGGTAAATCATTTAATTTTGGTCTAGATGTTTCTCCGTAGCTCTGATTCAGATCTTTTGTCTTGAATCTTTAGTTTCTGGAACTAATGTATTGGAAGTATCATGAGAAAGCTGCAGAAAAAGGGGCTTATATCATTGGAAGCAGTGGCTTTGACTCCATTCCAGCAGATCTGGGAGTAATATATACCAGAAATAAAATGAATGGTAATTATTGATCAAGAAGCAATAATGGAATTTAAAATAGAGGTGTTTCATGTTTGTAATTGTGGTGAACTAAAATCTTCTTGAGAAAAGAAACAACTATTAATGGGTAGTATTAAAACACATACTTTGTTTTTAATATAGCTGTACTTGTTAGAAAATGATATTGACACTATTGTTTTTTGAGGTATGGATAGTACTATAAGTGTTCTAAAGGAAGGAATTCTCCATTAGAATTTAGTTGTGGTTATAGCTATAAAATTTCTGGAAAAAATTTTTGGCAGGCATTATAAATTCAAACTTGCTTTGTTTAGGAATTAATACATCTTAAAGTATAATTTATACACATACTATAATTGGAAAGTTTTAATTTTTTTTAACGACCAAAGCTAGAAAGTATTGAACAAGCTTTTTGACATCTTTTTTAGCTCATTTATAAAATGGAGACAATAAGAATGGAAAAAAATCACTGTTATAGTAAAACAGTGGAATGTTATACATACATAAAAAATGCCCTTTATAAAAATGACCTGAAGCAAATAAGTCCAGTTCTATATAAACCATTCTAGAGCTTAAAATTATGGAAAGTGTTCCAGTTTATATTAGAACGGTAACTCTGAAACCAAAGCTCAACAAAGGTAATACGCATGCCTGCCATTTATTGATTTTAGATTTTTAGAAATTGAGGAATAGAATACTTTCTTAACACAGTGAATGTCAGAAAGCAGTAGGCAACGTCATACTTAATGATGAAACGCTGGAACCATTCCCAATAAAGAGAAGGGCATGAATTGAACATCTTTAAAATATTTATTTAGTCTTCAACCCATATTTCCATTTATTAAAAAACTTACTAAAAATATCTCCATTTACTGAAAAAGTTTAGAGTATTTTTCATGGTGGTCCTACATGTTTCTTATTGAGGTTATTCTTAAATATTTAGTAGTTGTTATTTTGAATAGGTCCTTTTTTATTTTTAAGGAAGAAATATTACTTTAAGATTTATTTTAGAACTTTTTTTCAGACACTGAAACCTAGGAGTCAGCATTTAACAAATACCCCAGCTAATTGTTGATTCAGGTGGCTCACATTTCATTACATACTGCCTTAGGCGATACATGTTCTTTCTGTGCACAGGGTTAGATCAAAGAGCCATGTATCCAGGCCACTTTCTCTTAACAACTCTCAGAATCCTCTCCAGTGAGTTAGAATTTAATGATCTATTCTTGGTTTTTGACAGTGTTAGATAAGTGATATTTATGTGGCTTTAGTTCTTTTCTGCTGTAACATCATTGTAGATGGTGTGGTTATTTGTTACCTTGCTCATTGTCAACTTTCTAAGGCCCCATGCTTTAATTTTCTCTTGGAATTAAAACTAGGAATACTGTCTCTTAACAAATTGGTATATTTTATCAGATTTTGAGAATTAGCTAGCCCGTCATGTTTTTCTTTTGTCTTACTGCTCTCGATAAGCTCAAAGATTAATTAAATACTTAACCACTATACGTATGTATTAGTCCTCATGGTTAATATAATTGATTTCTCCCCTTTTTTTCTGGCCTTGGTTTTCTACTTCGTTTTTACTCATTATATTTTTATTTCATTTAAATAGCCTTACTTTAAGTATTTAATAAGCCATCACAAAGGCCCATTTTGGTAGGGTTTCTGTATATTCATTGTAAGTCACTACTAATGAGTCTTCTTGAAAGCTTTCATATTGGAAAATAGAATAATTCCCATAGATGTAGTTTTTTTTTTGTTTTTTTTTTTGCTGTACGCAGGCCTCTTACTGTTGCGGCCTCTCCCGTTGTGGAGCACAGGCTCCGGACACGCAGGCTCAGCGGCCATCGCTCACGGGCCCAGCCGCTCCGCGGCACGTGGGATCTTTCCAGACCGGGGCACGAACCCGTGTCCCCTGCATCGGCAGGCGGACTCTCAACCACTGCGCCACCAGGGAAGCCCATAGATGTAGTTTTGAGAACTGATGGCCTTCCAGAATCAGTGAGCTAAATTGTTGCCTTATTGGAAGAGATTTTTTGCAATGTCAGTTTGAATACTAGAAAAGATTTTGTGAGTACCAGCAGTTAATTTATACTAAACTACTATTTTCCTGATAATTTATCTGGCTTTAGCTGCTCCTTAAATCTGTTTACAGTAACCTAATAATACTGTTATAGCACAGATTTTCCTGATTATATCAGCTGTAGGCCTAATAAAAATGTTCCCTAAATGAATAGGAATAGCTTATTATTACTTATCCTGGGTTAATAGATTTTTATTTGATTTTACTTTTACCATTTTCCTTCTCTTTTAGGTACATTGACTGCTGTGGAAAGTTTCCTGACTATACATTCAGGACCTGAGGTTAGTTTTTGTTTGTCACGTGTTTTCTTTGTTAATATTAAAAACATTTTGGAAATGATACTTGCCTGTTAAAAAGGTTTCAATTAATTAAATTGTATATACAGTTGTAATTTTTAGTGTATGAAAGTCACTGTTTAATTTTAAAAAGTAAAGATTGCTGTGAGTTATTTTGACTTAAAATAGAATTTGTTTAAAACTGCACAGTTCATTATTAGAATGAGTTACCATCATCCTAACACTAAAGATCTATCATTGTTGTGTGATGAATGTTGTCAGCCTAGAGAATTATCACCTTAGTGCAAATCAGTGCATTTTTATTATGTGCCTAACTTGGAGTTAGGTGCTCTTGTGGCCATACAAGAAATGTATAATGTAAATGTAATCTTACTGAATTTATGGTCTATTTGGGAGCATAAGATAGTTGCATTTCTGGGAAAGAACCATGTTTTGTGGTAGTAGTTTTACTGCCAGTAGTGTCTAACACAATTCTCTGTCTATACTTGAGGCTTCATAAGTATTTATTCTCTTTAAAAAATATTCAGTATTTCACATATTGTGTAATACAAGTATATATAGTAGTGCAAGATAGTGTGACACATAAATGAACAACATGCAAACCCTTAAAGGGAATAATTTAGACGAGCAGGAGACAAAAATTGTTATTAAAGAGGTCAGATGAAATACTATAGGATTCTGAGAATGGGGAGTTACATCTAGCCGGGAGGCCAGAGATCAAGGACTTTTTGGAGAAGTTGGGATATGGAATTTTAAAGGTTGGTGCTGAGGAGATGTGGATAAGGGAGAGAGGAAATAGTTTAATAAAGATGTAACTGTGGGATGGAGTGGAGCATGTTTAAGTAATGGTTTTATTTGTCTGGATTGTAGGTTCAGATGAATAAACATGAAGAACTATATAAAACTTGCTAAAATTTGTGGTTACAGATAATATCCACTAGAGTATCAGAATAAAGGGAAGTGACAGTGGGCCTGAGTAATTTGGGGATGCCTCATAGAAGCCTTATTAAGTTGAACCTTGAAAAGTGCATAGCATTTGGAAGGTGAGAGGCAGCAAACTAAACAAAGGCTCAGAAATGAGAAAGAAGGACATGCTTGGAGCTCTGGGGAACATGAGTTAGAAAGCCAACTCAACCTGGTTTAAACCAACAAAACAGAAAGGAATTTATTGATTCATGTAACCAAACATCTGCAGGTAAACAGTATGGCTGGATCTGGATGTTCAAATGGTATTATCGGAACTCATTTTTTTCTCTTCCTCTTCCTGTCTCTGCATTACTTCTGTGCTCCTCAGTGTAGGCTCTCACAATCGGGGGGTGGGGGGGAAGGTACTGGCAGCCCCAGGTATGCATTGTCCATAAGGTTCATGATTTCCCAGGAACAGCTAGCAGAGTTTGAATATTCAAAGATGGGGAAGATTAGTCAAGTATTGGGTCATTTGGTCATTCTTGAGCCAAACAGTGTGACCTGGGGTAACGGAGTAATAAGGTTGCCCAGGCCTGGGTCATGGGCCTCTGGAGAGGGAATCATAGGGCCAAGCCCTTCTCAACAACACGTAACAAACTTCCAATAGGAAAGAGAGTGTTGTAAGCAGAACATAGGGTAGGGGAATTAAGAATTCCCTGCAGGAAATTAGTGTAGGACTGACAAAAAACAGATGTCCACTACAGGGAGATAGTGAGAAAACAGAGCTAGAAAAGATGCTTCTTTTGAAAGAGGAGCAGGAGATGATCTATAACAGGAGATGAGAGTTGTGTCTCCTTCATATGGTTGCTATGAGGATTAAATTAGTCAATGAATATAAATCAGAACAGTGGTTGGCACTTTACAATCACTCAATAAATGTTATTAAGTCCTATTATTATAAGGACTCAAAGTTGGGCCTTAATCAGGACGAGACATTTGAAAACATCGAAATCAATGCAGCTCCTTCTCATTCCCCTTAAAGCAAAATACAGAGCCTTAATTTCACAAGGATGGACAGAGGTAACTGCCTTGATTCTATGCATCCCTTGGCACAGGATTGTTCTCCTCCTACTCCTTGTCCTACTTTTCCCCTTAAGCTTTGTTACTTGACATAAAAAATTGAATCTTAGACTATGTATTAGACCATAAAGCAAGACTCAAAAGAATTTCAGAGAGTTGGAATCATATACTCAAGGACAGTGCTGTCCAGTAAATCTTCCCTCAGTGATGAAGGTGTTCCATATATGCTATATAATGGCTTCCATACCAGATAGTGCAGCTCCAGAGCAGGGTCAGCCCATGGCCTACTTTTATATGGCTGCAAGCTAAGAATAATTTTAACATATTTAAAGAGCTATAATAAAAAAACAATACGCAGCAGAGACCAGATGTGGCCTGCACAGCCTAAAATATTTAGTTTGACCTTTTACAGAAATAGTTTGCCAACCCCCGTTCTAGAGTATGTTTTAGACTATAATGAAATTATACTAGAAATCAGTGAAGAGATGATAAGAATTCAATGTCTTCACTTCTTATAGGTTGTTAGGATTTTCTGTATACTCTTAAGTCCGTTTTGGTAGTTTGTGTCTGCATTAGTTTCTTAGGACTCCTGTAATAAAGCACCACAAACTGGGTTGCTTAAACAAGGGAAACATTGTTCTCACAGTTCTGGAGGCTAGAAGTCCATGATTAAGATGTTGGCAGGGTTTCTTCTGAGGGCTGTGAGGGAGAATCTGTTCCACGTTTCTCTCCTAGCTTCTGGTGGTTTGCTTGCAATCTTTGGTGTTCCTTTGTTGTAGATGCATCACTCAGACCTCTCTTCCATCTTCATATGTGTGTGTGTCCAAATTTCTCCTTTTTATAAGGACACCAGTGGTTTGGGGTTGGGGGCCCACTTCCTCCAATATGTATGACCTCAACTTAACTAGTTACACCTACAACAACCCTGCTTACAAATAAGGTTACATTCTGAGGTACCGGGGGTTAGGCCTTCTACATATAAATTTGGGGTGGGTACAAAATTTAATCCGTAACAGTGTCTTTCTAGGAATTTGTCCATTTCATCTAGGTTGTTTACTTTGTTGGCATCCAGTTGTTCATAGTATTCCCTTATACTCTTTTTTATTTCTGAAAGGTTGGTAATGCCCCTTCTTTCATTCCTGATTTTAGTAATTTGAGTTCTCTCTCTCACTTTCTTTTTCTTTCTCTCTCTGTCAATCTAGCTAAAGGTTTTTCATTTTGGTTGATTTCTTCAAAGAACCACCTTTTGGTTTCGTTGATTTTCTCTATTGTTTTTCTATTCTCTGTTTCATTTATTTCCACTCTAGTCTTTATTGTTGCTGGATACAACAGTAATATAAAAATCAGTTGCATTTCTGTATACCAGTCACAGTTAGAAAATGAATTTTTTAAAATGAGACCATTTATAGTAGCATTAAAAAATCAAGTACTTAAGAATAAGGGATATAAAATGTACAAGATTTCTGTGAAGAAAACTATAAAATGTTATTGAGTGACCTTAAAGAAGACAAATAAATGGAAGAATCCACCATATTCATGGATTGGAAGGCTCAATTTTGTTAAAATGTCAGTTTTCCTTAAATTAATTTATAATCCCATATAATTCCAATCAAAATCGCAAACAGGTTTTTTTTTTGCTTGCTTGTTTTGTTTTAGTATGCAATTTGACAAACTAATTCTAAAATGTATATGGAAATGCAGAGGGCCAAGAATAACCAACACTTTCTTAAAGGAGGATAAGGTAGAAGGATGTTCTTGAATATCAAGACATTATCAAGTCAGAGTGTTACGCTGGCAGGGAGATATCGATAGGCCAGCAGATTAGGATAAAGAACTCCGAGTAGTTTGTGCATATATGAGCACTTGATTTATGGTAAAGGGTCTTTTTCGGGAGATGATGGGTGTGGGGAAACAATGAAATTGGACTCATACTTTGCACTGTGTACAAAAATCAAGTTTAGGGGGGTTATAGACCTAAATGAATAAGGCTAAACAGTAAGCTTTTAGAAGATGAATATTTCATGGCCTCAAGGTCAGGAATGGTTTCTTTTTTTCCAGAAATATATTTTATTTTGTTAATTTATTTTTATTGAGGTATAATTGACATATAACATTGTACTATTTAGGTGTACAACATAATAATTCAATATTTGTTTATATTACAAATGATCACCACTAGTTAGCATCCATTACCATACTTAAGTTTTTTTTCTTGTGATGAGAACTTGTATTTATTTTTTTTGAAGTAACTTTTCTTTATTTGGAATCTGATTATCAGCAGCTCTTTATATGTTTATTTTTTAAGCATATAAACAATTTTTTAAAATTTATTTATTTATTTATTTATCTTTGGCTGTGTTGGGTCTTTGTTGCTGCATGCGGGCTTTCTCTAGCTGTGTTGAGCAGGGGCTACTCTTCGTTGCAGTGCGTGGGCTTCTCATTGCGGTGGCTTCTTTTGTTGAGGAGCATGGGCTTCAGTAGTGTGGCACACAGGCTCAGTAGTTGTGGCTCACGGGCTCTAGGGCACAGGCTCAGTAGTTTTGGTGCACAGACTTAGTTGCTCCGCGGCATGTGGAATCTTCCCAGACCAGGGATTGAATCCGTGTCCCCTGCATTGGCAGGCAGATTCTTAACCACTGCACTACCAGGGAAGTCCTAAGAACTTTTAAAATCATCTTTCCTGGCAAATTTCTAATTTTCTATATAATATAAACTATAGTCACCATGTTGTACAGGGAACAAATGACTGCTTGCAAAAGACACGGAAGGCATTAAATATAAAAAAAAAAAGTGGAATACATTTAAAATTTTAAATTGAGTATGTCTTTTTATATCACAAGACACCATTAAGAAAATGGAAGGTCAACAGCAGAGTAGGAGGTCCTTCTAACACATGATGAATCCTAACATCACAATTTTGAGCAAAAGAAGCCAAACTCAAGGAATATACATTATATGGTTCCATTTCTGTAAAATTTAGAAACGGGCAAAACTCACTGCACTGTTTAGAAATGAATGCTTAGGTGGTAAAACTCTTAAAGAAGCAAGGAGTTTTCTTGATTACCACAAAGGCAGGACAGAAGGAGGGCCTTCTGGGTTTACATAGATGTTAGCTTCATAATTACATTAAATTATACTTTTATGTCTTGTGCACTTTTCTTTCTATTTTTCAACAAAATAAAAGGTTTTTAAAATGGAATGTAATTTTTGCCTTTTTGATGGCTTATTTGTATGAGAAGATACTCTTAACGTTTTTAAAAAAACTATTTTCTCCTGATTTTTGGAAATCTTTGCAAGTAGGTCAGATTGGCTAGGTGCAGACTGAGGATAGTTTCACAAATCAAACTCTTAAGACTTTTAGCTCTGATTTAATTTTAACAAACAGAAGAAATTAATATGTACCAAAATAGAAATTAGGTTGGTGTCTCTTTACCTTTCAGTTTCATCAAAGCTGTTATATGAAAACCTGAATCTTCTGATGGTTTTAGTGTTTCTTTTTTTCTGCTTAAAGCAATCAGTGATAAATAGTTGAGTGAAAATGATGACATGAAACTTATTAAAAAGAGCATAAATAATGGTAGGAGGAAAGAAGAAAGGGCATATGTTTGTAAATATATAATATATAAATAGGGTATAAATAGTGAATGTGATCAAACTGATGAGTTTTACTGCTGCCTAGCCAGTCATAAAAATTTATCTCAAGATTATTAAATAAGGGATTATGCCTTGCTCAAATAGAGGTGAAATGTTCTTTGTATCAATTATAAATTACTTGGTTTTACATTTTAGCAATTATCCCTTAAGACATGTTTCTTCTAATATTTTAATTTTATTGGAGTATAGTTAATTTACAATATTGTGTCAGTTCTAAGACAAGTTGCTTTAACTCTTGAATTATTTTGTTAGGGGTTGTGCACTCATGATGGTACCTGGAAGTCAGCGGTTTATGGTTTTGGAGATCAGAGTAATTTGAAAAAACTACGAAATGAGTCCAATTTGAAGCCTGTCCCAATTGTTGGTCCAAAATTGAAAAGAAGGTATATTATCTCAAAATCTATTCTTCTGTTTATCTAACCATATTGTTGTTTATCTGACTGTTAATAACATATGCTACTAAGAAAAGCCTGGAGACTTTTATAGTGAGTTCAGGATTGTTTTCAAAGATAAATAAAATATAATTAATACGTTACCCTAAGTTTAAGTACTTCATATATAATAATACATTTGGATTCTGGGAAAATTCTGGAAAAAATCAGTTTTATGACTCTTCACTATCAATATCAAAATTAAACATCAATTAAATTTCATGCTGTAAAAATATGATCTTATGTGTATTAATCAACTTATTAATTAGTATTTATATGTGAGAACTCTAAACTCAGAGTTTGGCTGTTGAAATGAGTGTTCTTCTTATCATTATCTAGGGAAATTGATGGGGTATAAAACATGGTTAAACTATATGTGTTAAGTGCCCATGGTGTGAAGAATACTACATTGTTCCAACTTGTCACTTTTTTGGGTGCAGGTGTAGAGAACAAAGGACAAATACTGAAGTAAATTTTAATTAAGAGCAGATCTGCCATCTTTACTGTTATTATTAATTGCCTCAAGAAGAGTTAAGGTTTTTATTCAGAAATTTACCAGTTATAGTTGTGGTCACTGTAAATGGAGAAGATACAACATGCTTCTGTCTTGCAGGTGGCCAATTTCTTACTGCAGAGAACTCAACAGTTATTCCATTCCTTTCTTGGGAGCAGATGTGTCTGTTGTGAAGCGGACTCAGCGTTACTTGCACGAAAATTTAGAGCAATCACCTGTAAGCGTATATGATTTATTTTTTAATAAAGAGTATTCTGTGTTTGTTTCAGTTCCCCTATCATTTTAATGTAGGATTTTTATGTTTATAAAGCAAAAAAAGAAAGAGCTAAAATAGTGCATGTTTCAGTTTCTGGAAGCATAAAGAATTAGTAGTGTAGAACGTTTTGCATTTTATGGGGGTGGTAATAGCCTTCTCCCATAATTCAACTCTGACCTTCTGAATACCTTTTTAATGTAACACAATAGCAGCAAGTTCAATATAGGAAATCCTGGTATCGTAAATACCCAACAGTCCTGTTGCGAGCTTCAGCTGCTAGAATACTCTTTCTGTTGCTTATGGAGGTGTCTAGGTTCTTCTCTCTTATCTCCTTGCTACCTCTAGAGAACCATCCTACTCCATTTGGTGAGGGAAGTAATTATTCCCACTGCTGAGACTTGAAGAGGAAACTATGTCTAGTTTAAAAAAAAAAACAAAAAACGAGAGTATTTTCTTATAGAAGAGATTGTAAGTGGAGTCTACACTCTATAATGTATAATTGTTAAACTCAGGTATATTGTTATGGACTTTTTATATATAGATTATGTGGACTTTTGTGTTCAAGTAGGGGGAGCTAATTACCTTTTGCAACAATTTTTTTTTAACATCTTTATTGGAGTATAATTGCTTTACAATGGTGTGTTAGCTTCTACTGTATAACAAAGTGAATCAGCTATACATATACATATATCCCCATATCTCTTCCCTCTTGCTTTTCCCTCCCACCCTCCCTATCCCACCCTTCTAGGTGGACACAAAGCACCGAGCTGATCTCCCTGTGCTATGCGGCTTCTTCCTACTAGCTATCTGTTTTACATTTGGTAGTGTGTATAGCTCCATGCCACTCTCTCACTTTGTCCCAGTTTACCCTTCCCCCTCCTCGTGTCCTCATGTCCATTCTCTACGTCTGCGTCTTTATTCCTGTCCTGCCCCTAGGTTCTTCAGAACCCTTTTTTTTTGGATTCCATATATATGTGTTAGCATACAGTATTTGTTTTTCTCTTTCTGACTTACTTCATTCTGTTTGACAGACTCTAGGTCCATCCACCTCACTACAAATAAGTCAATTTCGTTTCTTTTTATGGTTGAGTAATATTCCATTGTATATATATGTGCCACATCTTCTTTATCCATTCGTCTGTTGATGGGCATTTAGGTTGATTCCATGTCCTGGCTATTGTAAATAGTGCTGCAATGAACATTGTGGTACATGACTACTTTTGAATTATGGTTTTCTCAGGGTATATGCCCAGTAGTGGGATTGTTGGGTCATATGGTAGTTCTATTTTTAGTTTTTTAAGGGACCTCCATACTATTCTCCATAGTGGCTGTATCAATTTACATTCCCACCAACAGTGCAAGAGGATTCCCTTTTCTCCACACCCTCTCCAGCATATATTGTTTGTAGTTTTTTTGTTTTGTTTTGTTTTTTTTTTTGCAGTACGCGGGCCTCTCACTGTTGTGGCCTCTCCCGTTGCGGAGCACATGCTCCAGACTCCAGACGTGCAGGCTCAGCGGCCATGGCTCACGGGCCTAGCCGCTCTGTGGCATGCGGGATGTTCCCGGACCGGGGCACGAACCCATGTCCCCTGCATCGGCAGGCGGACTCTCAACCACTGCGCCACCAGGGAAGCCCATGTTTGTAGATTTTTTGGTGATGGCCATTCTGACCGGTGTGAGGTGATACCTCATTGTAGTTTTGATTTGCATTTCTCTAATGATTAGTGATGTTGAGCATCCTTTCATGTGTTTGCTGGCAATCTGTATATCTTCTTTGGAAAATGTCTATTTAGGCCTTCTGCCCATTTTAATAATTTCTTTTTAAAAATGTCCTCCCTGGGGGCTTCCCTGGTGGCACAGTGGTTGAGAGTCCGCCTGCTGATGCAGGGGACACGGGTTCGTGCCCCAGTCCGGGAAGATCCCACATGCCGCGGAGCGGCTGGGCCCGTGAGCCATGGCCGCTAAGCCTGCGCGTCCAGAGCCTGTGCTCCGCAACGAGAGAGGCCACAACAGTGAGAGGCCCGCGTACCTCGGAAAAAAAAAAAAAAAAAGTCTTCCCAGTGTCTGATTTCTGGACAAGCTTTTGGAACATAACACATTCATAAAATGGAAACTGCTTTTGTTCGATATTTATGACTATAGAGTAAGTTATTAGTAGCTAACATTCTTGTATTACTTGGTCTAAGAAAGTAGGGAGTAACATCCTGACTTTGTATTCTTCATCTAGGTTCAGTATGCTGCTTATGTAACTGTGGGAGGTGTCACCTCTGTTATTAAGCTGATGTTTGCTGGACTTTTCTTTTTATTCTTTGTGAAGTTTGGCATTGGAAGGCAACTCCTCATAAAAGTAAGTAATATTTCTATGAAATTAGACCTTAGAAGTATTTTCCATGAATTTTTGAAAATATCACTAAAGGTTTTTTTTTTCCTTTAGTTCCCATGGCTCTTCTCCTTTGGTTATTTTTCAAAACAAGGTCCAACACAAAAACAGGTAACCCTTTCCTTTGTATCCAGGTCTCTAAAATAATATTTTTCTTTGTTTCATTTTTACTTTTCCTCAGTGTAGTGAAAATAACAGCTAAGACCTGATGAAGCACTTACTGTGTTTCAGACACTCTTTTATATTCTTTACATAAATTAGATTACTCAGTCTTTTTGAACACTCCTTGAGGTGTTATCTCCATTTTACAAATGAGGAAAATGAGTCACAGAGAGGCTAAGAAACTTGCCAAAGTCCTATAGTGAGTAAATGGCCAAGTTAGGATGAGAACCCAGCTATCTGGCTCCAGAAATTATATTCTCTTTACTTCATAGAGATTTCAAATATTTTTACTCTTCAATTTTTCTCCTTCATTATCTCCTCCTTTTTTACGTCCTCTCTCCCCCTCCTCCAAGCTTCCCTTCCCTTTCCTCTTTCACACACCCTGGATCCCCATGGTAGATAAGTTGAATTACCATCTGTCCGGTATCCTCAATATAACTGCTTCAGGCACTTCAGATTTCATGTGTAAAATCTAAATTTATTTCCACTGAACCCTCTTCTTCCTTCTGTATTTCCCATCTCAGTCGGTGGCACTGTCATCTGCCCAGTCCTGAACGTAGGCATCATTCTAGATTTTTCTCCAAATCCATCATAACTACCTTAGTTCAGGCTCTTATCCCTCTTCTCTTCTCTCTCTCTCTCTCTTCCTTCTAATTGTTGTAAAATACACATGACAAAATTCCCCATCTTAACCATTTTTAAGTGTTCAGTGGTATCAAGTACTTTCATATTATTATACAGCCATCACCACCATCCATTTCCAGAATTGTTTTCATCTTGCAAAACTGAAACTCTATACCCATTAAAAAATAACTCTCCTTTCCCCTTTTTCCCCAGTTCCTAGCAAACACAATTCTACTTTGTGTCTATGAGTTTGACCACACTAGAACATCATGAGTGGAATCATGCAGAATTTGTCCTTCTGTGATCAGCTTATTTTACATAGGATAATGTCCTCAGAGTTCATCCGTGTGGTAGCATGTGTCAGAATTTCCTTTCTTTTGAGGCCAAATAATATTCCATTGTATACAGGGTTGTTTCTCAGTATCTTCAGAGGATTGGTTCCAGGATGCCCCACAGGTACCAAAATCCATGATGCTCAAGTCCCTTATATAAAATAGCATAGTATTTGCATATAACTTATAGACATTGTCCTGTATACTTTAAATCATCTATAGATTACTTTATAATACCTATGTAAATACTACGTAGATAATTGTAAATGGTATGTTAATAGTTGGTGGCATGAGGCAAATTCAAGTTTTGCTCTTTGGAAATTTCTGGAAGTTTTTTCCCAAATAATTTGGATTTGACATTGGATGAGTGTGGACACAGAAATCATGAATATGGAGGGCTGATTGTATATACCATATTTTGCTTATCCATTCATCTGTCCATAGACACTTGGGTTACTTCTATTTTTGTCTATTTTGAATAATGCCTTTATGAAATTGGGTGTGCAGATATCTCTTCAAGACCCTTCTTTCAGTTCTTTTGGGTATATTCCCAGAAATTCAATTGTTGGATCCTGTGGTAATTCTAGTTTTAAATTTTTTAGGAACCAACAAACTATTTTCCACTGTGGCTGCACCATTTTACATTCCAACCAACTGTGCACAAAGGTTCTAATTTCTCCACATCCTTACCAACACTTGCTATTTCCTTTTTTTTTTTTTATAGTAGCCATCCTAATAGTTGTGAGGTGATCTCTCATTATGGTTTTGATTTGCAGTTCCCTAAATGATTAGTGATGTTGAACTTCTTTCCATGTGCTGCTTATTGGCTTATTTGTATATCTTCTTTAGAGAAATGTCTATTCTTGTCGTTTGCCCATTTTTGTACTGTATTGTTGAGTTCGAGGAGCTCTGTGTATATTCTGTATATTAATCCCTTATCAGATATGTGATTTGCAAATATTTTCTCCCAGTCTGTGGGGTTGTCTTTTCACTGTTAATAGTGCAGGCCCTTATCTTTCAGCTGAACTGTTCATAGCCTTCCTATGATTTCTTTCTAATTCATCTTCCCACTGCTGTATAAGAAATCTATGATGCAAATCTGACTCTGTTCCCAAGGATGGTTCGACATATGCAAATCAATCAGTGTGATACACCACATTAACAAAAGAGAAGACAGAAATCATAGGATCATCTCAATAGACGCAGAAAAAGCATTTGATAAAATTCAACATCCATTCATGATACAAACTCTCACCGAAGTGGGTATAGAGGAAACATATCTCAACATAATAAAAGCCATTTACCCCAAATGCATAGCCAACATAAAACTGAACAGTGAAAAGCTGAAAGCCTTCCCACCAAATTCAGGAACAAGACAGATGATGCCCACTCTCATCACTTCTGTTCAACATTGTATTGGAAGTCCTAGCCACTGCAGTCAGACAAGAAAAAGAAATAAAAGATATCCAAATTGGAAGGGAAGAGGTAAAATTGCAGATGACATGATACCCTATATAGGGAACCCTAAAGACTCCACACAAAAACTATTGGAACTAATAAATGAATTCAGCAAGGTAACAGGATACAAGATTAATATACAGAAATCTGTTGCAGTCCTTTACACTAACAATGAAATATCAGAAAGAAAAAGTAAAATAAAATCCCATTTAAAATCTCATCAAAAAAAAAAACTAGGAATAAACTTAACCAAAGTGGTGAAAGACCTATATGATAAAAACTGTAAAACATTGATAAAGGAAATTGAAGATGATTCAAAGAAATGGAAAGATAGCCCATGCTCTTGGACTAGAAGAATTAATATTGTTAAAATGGCCATACTATCCAAAGAAATCTACAGATTTAATGTCATCCCTGTCAAATTACCCATGACATTTTTAACAGAACTGGAACGAATAATCCTAAAATTAATATGGAACCACAGAACTGCCAAAGCAATCCTGAGGAAAAAGAACAAAGCTGGAGGCATAACCCTTCTAGACTTCAGACAATACTACAAAGCTATCATAATCAAAACAGCATGGTATTGGCACAAAAACAGACAGGTCAATGGAACAGAATAGAGAGCCCAGAAATAAAACCACACACCTATAGGCAATTAATCTTTGACAAAAGAGGCAAGAATATACAATGGAGAAAAGACAGTCTCTTCAGCAGGTGGTGTTGGGAAAGCTGGACAACTTCATGTGTCAATGAAATTAGAACACTCCCTCACACCATATACAAAAATAAATTCAAAATGGTTTAAAGACCTAAATATAAGACACGATACCATAAAACTTCTACAGGAGAACCTGGGCAAAGCATTCTTGGACATAAATCTTGGCAATATTTTCTTAGATCTGTATTCCAAGGCAAAAGAAATAAAAGCAAAAGTAAACAAATGGGACCTAATTAAATTTAAAACCTTTTGCACTGCAAAACAAACCATCAGCAAAATGAAAAGACAACCTACGGACTGGGAGAAAACATTTGCAAACAATGCAGCCAAACAGGGGTTAATGCCCAAAATATACAAACAGTTCATACAACTCAATATTAAAAAAAAATCCAATTAAAAAATGGTCAGAGGGCTTCCCTGGTGGCGCAGTGGTTGAGGGTCCACCTGCCGATGCAGGGGATGCAGGTTCGTGCCCCGGTCCAGGAGGATCCCACATGCCATGGAGCGGCTGCACCCGTGAGCCATGGCCGCTG